AAAAAAAATTAACTTAAATGATTTTAGCAAATGGCTGCAATATAACAAAGAGTGAAAAATTTAAAGGGGTCTGAATACTTTCCGTACCCACTGTATATATATATTATGTTTAAGCAATTAACATTAAATTCTTAAATCTTAAGTAATTCTTACTTTCCCTGTTCTTGCAATATTCAAGTGTTCATGTCCCCGAGTAATATCTGCATCCACCGAAGTCTGAAGAGTACACAATATGCTAGTAGAGAGCAATCCATATGAGAGAGAGGTCTGGTGTGGAGGGTGGATCTGGAACTGACTTCTGTACAGTTTGTCACATCTCTTGATTATCTGTCTTCATGAACTGCCCTGAAATACAATTCAGACATTAACAATGATTGTTATAAATGTAAGGTGAGGCTCTTACATTCACAATACTCATTTTGGCCTCTACAGCTCATTTTGGAAATATAGTTAATATCAGTAATATGGAGGCATGCACGATACAAGGTCAATGGCCAGTAACATCACTTTGAGGTACAATATCTATATCAGTAAGATCAATTCCATGCGATATAATTCAATCTAGCGTATGATTAAAACGATGGGTGGGCCTGGTGACGTTTTGCTTGACTCCAAAAGAGTGTATTAGGTCAGTAAACGCAGTCCTAATGCATCATTTGTATTATCAACGTGAATGTTAAAATCTCCAACAATTAGCGCTTTATCAACAGTAAACAATAGGTCTGAGAGGAAATCTGCATATTCTTTTAGGAAATCTGTATACGGCCCTGGTGGTCTATACACAGTAGCCAGAGCAAGAGATACGATAGATTTGACATTAACAATGATTGTTATAAATGTAAGGTGAGGCTCTTACATTCACAATACTCATTTTGGCCTCTACAGCTCATTTTGGAAATATAGTTAATATCAGTAATATGGAGGCATGCACGATACAAGGTCAATGGCCAGTAACATCACTTTGAGGTACAATATCTATATCAGTAAGATCAATTCCATGCGATATAATTCAATCTAGCGTATGATTAAAACGATGGGTGGGCCTGGTGACGTTTTGCTTGTTTTTGTTCATTTATTTTGCATTTTTCTGGTTTAATCACAATCAGATTTTTTGAGCCTGCATTACATTTATATTTTGACCTCACTATTCGGGGAACAGACCAGTGTGAATTTCGTCAACAAAGACGATGACAAAAAATATTCGTTAATGAACATTTTTTCTGTAACTAAGACGAGACGTTGACGAGCTAAACTAATATCTGATGATAAAAACTATGACGAAAAGTATCTTCGTTAATAAGATGAGACGGGACTATAATGTTATTTGAGGTCTACCGGACATTCAAAATACATCCTATAGGCTACTGTCTTGTCCTTCAAAATGTGCGTCCCTGTCATTGGATTGCAATCGAATAAGGGGCGTTCGCATATCTAGTCGCAGTGGATGGATAGGCTACCAAAATACGAACTAGTGATCTGAAACAATGGCGTCAGCACCCGAAGGGGTAGGGATAAGGTGACCAGACGTTCCGTTTTTCTTGGGAGTCATAATTCGTTGTCGATTAACTTAAAGTTAGTGAAGGCGGTATAGGCAGAATCGCGCTGATAGAAGTGCTCTCTCACGCATGCTCCACTTCTTCAGTTCTCATATACAGCGCGCGATCAGTTCTCAGCGCTCAAATACACACACAGCCATCCAAATTAGGGGTCGACCGATATGTGTTTTTCAGGGCCGATACCGATACCGATTATTACAGATCAAGTAGACCGATAACCGATATTTTGAACCGATATATATGTCTGGTGTAAAAATTACAATTTATGTCAAAATTAAAAATAAAAAGGGCTCTGACAAAAACTGCCTTCCCTGGTGTTGGTTGAGTGTAGTACTCCCACAGTAAACTCTTTATTTAAAAAAGTTAAACTCTTTATTTTTTGGCAAACAAAGGGTTTATTATCAAAATTAAAACATGGAAGAAATAGCGTATTGTGTGAATATTCTTTTAAACAAAAGTTGTAATAATTGTTGTAGTAGTCAGGGGTTAAAGCAAAAAAAAAATCTTTTGACTGAAAATGTTTCCTCGGCCAAACCCCATTCCTCAGCCATACCTGTCACACACCCAGTTTAAGAGCAGTGTTTTTCTTCTTGTAATCAAGAG